TTTGCATTTTTGGTTTGCAGAAGTAACACAGATGGAGCATAGGAGTTAATAATGGTTTCTGTTTAAATATCATTGAATGATTTGTTCTCCTTTTATTATTGAATAATGAACTAATGGATATTTAGGAATCTTCACTTTTAGTTTGTCTGTTAATTGCAGTTGCAAGTAGTTGGTGTTTAAGTTTTGCAATGCTGTATGGGATTTTTTGAGAGAACAGTCATTCTGAAATAGTGTTTGCCTGCTGCCCTCAAGTGGTTATAATTTGACACTACAGTCTCTTCAGGGTCAACAGATCAGTAGCAGTGTCAGAAAATAGTGATTAGACTCACACACTGGCAGATTCTTCTCTTCTTCAAGCATATCGTAAGCTACCCAGCCTCTGCTGTATGATTAATGCACTGATTACTTCCCATGAGCCTCCTCTTTCCTCCCAGAAAATATTCCATTTAAAGCTTCATACTGCTGGGATACAGGATGTACCTGCATTCTGATTTGGATAATTGACTTCAATATGGGTCAAGCATTTGATTTGATTGGTGCAAAGCTATGCCTCATTTTTTCCCCCTTCAAACATCAGATGGCCAAAGACTACAAAGCATTTGTCTTCTCCTGATACCAGGGGTTTTGTGACAGAAGAGCTTTGTCTTTGTATAAACATCTAAAAAGCAAGAACATGCCAATGACACACCTCTGTCTAACCTCTATTTGTATGTTTGTTCACGTGTTTGTGTGTATGTGACTGTGCTTGTGGCTGTGTTTGTGTGTGTGTGTGTGTGTCTGTGTTTGCGTGTTTGTCTGCATGTGTGTGTGTTTGTGGCTCTGTGTATGTGTGTATGTATGTATTTGTGTTTGTGTGTGTGTGTGTGTGTGTATCTGTGTTTGTGGCTGTGTATGTGGCTGTATGTGGCTGTGTGTGGTGTGTGTGTGTGTGTGTGTATCTGTGTTTGCGGCCCTGTGTATGTGTGTTTGTGTGTGTGCGTGTGTGTGTGTGCGTGTGTGCGTGCGTGCGTGCGTGTGTGTGTGTGTGCGTGTGTGTGCGTGTGTGTGTGTTTACGCCTCCAGGCGTCAGGAGCTGCGTGAGCTGCGTCTGCTGCAGAAAGAGGAGCACCGCGCCCAGGCCCTGCTCAACACCAAGCTGGAGATGCAGAAGGAGCAAATGCAGCGTCGCTTCGACCAGGAGATGAATGTGAGTCTTTCCCCAAACAGTGCCACGGTATCATTTTTGTCCCCTATCTGTGCCACAATGTCCTCTCCCTGCATTTCTCTATCTGTGCCACGATGTCATCTTTCTATGTCCCTGTGACAGTGCCATTATGTCCTATCTCTGCATTTCTTATTTTGCCACAATGTCCTCTCCCTGTGTCCTTCTTATTTTTCCATCATGTCTTCACTCTGTGTCCCCCTAACTGTGCCATGTCCTCTCTCTGTGTCTAAAAGTGCTGCCATGTCTCCTCTGTGTGTCTCTTTAACCATTCCTTTAACTCCTCTCTTAGTGTCCTTTTGCCTATGCCAAGATTCTGTGGAAGAATACGAATATTAGGCATAAATCTTTCATTTCTCCCCTTACTCTTTCTGTGTCATGTCTGCTTCTTAACTTCCTCTCTCCACCCCAGGGGAGTCTGGCTCAGGTAGGCAAATGAGGCACTGTCTGTTTATAGAGGGATATAATGCAATTGTTGCCCCTTCAGTGTCTGATGGATGGAACTTTAGCGAAAATAACCGAGTGACATCTGATAACAAAAGCCTTGTGTCATTGGATTAAGATGGACATTATAATAACATTTTGGTGCAAGTGCTCAAAACAACTTGCACATCCCACCTAGACCAGGAATCTGTCTTCCTGAGAATCACATGTAAGTTATCAGAAAATGTAAATGTGCTTGTGATGTTTAGCACCTAAACATTTACCCAGACATTTGGCTACAAAAATTGACTACTGGAAGAAAATCTAATGTCACTTGGACAAGTTGGCAACACTGGAGGAGATGTAGCTATCTGTCATCAGGAGACAGATTACACTTGGATAAGAGTTTGTTTTATACATAGCTAAATCCATTAGTAACAATACTTTTGAGAGATGTTATGTTTTTAGGTGCTCATTTTTCTTTTAATTTTAGAGAGATTCTAAAAGATTCTTATCCAACTTGCTTGAGGGAAAGTTATTTAACTTACTAGCTAGTTAGTTAGTTGTCTTAATCATTGTAGTTTGCTGGAAAAAATGGCAGGAGGTTATAGTTTACTTCCTGGAAAGAATTGCTAGCTGGCTGGCTAGTTTCATTGACCTTACAGACCTTTGAAACTTCCCTATTAGTGCTGTATGCTGAATAGTTAGTAGCTGGAGAACTGTTTGTGACACATACCATGCTAGCGAACTGTATCGTAGCATAAGCAGTCTGTGTAGTCGTTTCCCTCCATTTTAGCTATTGTACCAAACTTAGCCCTTGATTACTGTGCATTGTAGTTTGTTACTGATAGATAGACAGATAGATGAATGAATGATGGATAGACGGTCATGAGACAGATAGTCATTCAGTGAAACTGTGTGCTGTGGTTTAACTGCAGAAGATGTACAACAAAGTGAGATTCTTTGTTGATGTGGGCTTTGACACCATACATTTGTTACTATTAAGTTTTTACAAGCTCGAAAAGATTTAGATTTTCATGTTTTTTGACATTAATTGAATTGTTTTCCTTGCGGTTTGGATCTTTTGGTCAAATGTGCATTTTTGATAATGTGTCTAGTGTAGTACATCTGACATATGCATCAAAAAATGACTTGAAGGTGTGGATTTGATACACAGCAAATTTTGAATTCTGAACACATTTATCAGAAGGTAAAAATCAAAGGAGGGCTGCTCTTATGATGAAGCCTCAACACAAATCTTCATCAAACAGCAGAGCAGATACTGCTAAGCAGTCATTACTAAAACTTCATGCAAACATACATATACCCTACAGCTTGTACCTGCATCTCAGAATCCAGAAGCATCAGCCACAGCATGTCCCAGGGCTACCTTTTGAGTTGCGCCTGTTCCATCACATGCTATCACTCTGTCGTAGTCTATTCATGTTCTGCAGTTGGGTCAGCATGCAGCGGCTGTGTATATGTAACTGCGAGACTGGGGCAGTCGTAGATGCATTGAAGTGTCTCTCCCTCCCAGGCGAAGAAGAAGTACTACGACACAGAGCTGGAGCACCTGGAGAAGCACCAGAAGCAGACCATAGAGAAGATGGAGACGGACCACGCCGTGCGGCTCAGGGACGAGACCAAGCGCATCCGCTCAGAGCAGGAGAGGGACTACTGCAAGTTCCAGGAGCAGATGAAGCAGAGGAAGAAGGAGGTGAGGGGGAGAAGGGGCCAGAGGAGGGGTTGAGTGCCATGGGGTGCCCAGATATGGTATGAGAGGAGGGAATGGCAAATCATATTTTGTATAGATTGCGGAAACTATGATTAGCCACCTTATATAATATTAGTTTTTAAAAATCTGTTTGTGCATTTTTTTTATAGGTAAAGCGTGAGGTCGAGAAACTGCCCAGAAGTCAACGAAAGGAACAGCTTAAACAGCGAATGAGTGCGTTTCAGCAGACAAAAGAGACAGAGGTAAATACGCAGTAACTGTGGAAACTTGAACTTTTAAACAGACCAATAAGAATTCAAAAGTCATAGCAGGAGCACACAAGCTCTGCCATTGTGCTTGATTTTGGATCTGTGCCTCCTTTCCTGTGTCTGCTGGTCTTTCATAGTTATCAGTTCTTATCAGTGGGTCATTGAAGTTGATTTTGACTTACAGGCACAATGCTAATACTGTATATTGACTGATTGATTGATTGATTGATTGATTGATTGATCCATTCATGCATTCACCGAGAACCAGATTTCTGTCTGATCAGCGGTGTTCTGGAGTGGAAGTCTTTTTCTGTCTCTCACCCTTTTTCCTGTTCCTGTCTCCCAGGAGGAGAAGTTCCTTGCGGACCAGAAGAACTACCTGGACACCACACTGAAGAAGATCATATCCAACAACAAACGGGAGATCTCTGAGACTGAGCGCGAGTGCCTAAACAAGAAACAGCATCTCATCAGAGGTATGTCAGATGACATCAGGCCCCTGGTGGAAGCACCATCTCCCTCAGATACTTTGCCAAAATATCATCCCCTTCAGAGGGAACAAACTCTCCCCCTCAGGAAGGACAACACACACACTCTGATCTTCCGAAATGTTAATACAGTCTCTCTCCCCCTCAAAAACCTTCATGCTCTCTTGCACCCCTCAGAAAGGATAACACAAACTCCCCTTCAGAAAACTGTTAATGCACACACACATACACACCCCCTCACCAAAAACATCAACACACATCCCTCCTCCCTCAGAAAGGTTAACACCTCCCCATCCTCAAGGGTACCATAAACTACCCCTGCCTCAGAAAGCCACACCCAGACCTCCTCCACAGAAATGTTAACATCCATACTCTCCTCTCAGAGAGGGAAGCCACTATCTGGGATCTGGAGGAGCACAACCTTCATGAGAGTCACCAGCTGATGAAGCAGCAGCTCAAAGACCAGTACTTCCTCCAGAGACACCAGCTGCTTAAGAAGCATGAGAAGGTACTGTACCGTCAGCACAACTGAGAATTTTGTACTGCGAGATTTCTGTACCCATATTTAGGAATCAATTATAATTAAATTTGTATCGACAGTGCTTTTACATCACAGTATTTATTTGGTTACACTTCCCCCAATGCTTCTGAATGTTTAGTTCAGCACATTGGGTATGTGGATGCTCTAGATAAGAGCATCTGTTAAATGACAATAATGTATGATAGTTCTCAGAGGTTTTGGAGTGTTCTCTCTTGAAATTTTTTGAAATTACATTACTTGCATTTATCAGATGCTCTTATCTGGAGTAACTTACAGAGGTTAGTTTTTACGTTATCCATTTATACAGCTGGATATTTTCTGAGGTAGTTCTGGGTTAAATACCTTGCCCAAGGCTACAGCAGCAGGGCCTCAGCAGGGAATTGAGCCAGCAACCTTATGATTACGAGTCCTGCGCCTTACCGCTATGCTAAAGTGCCACCCGTATTGCTGGGGGTGCCAGCAATCAGGGGTGGCAAAATAACTGCCGCTGTATTTTGAAACAAACACTTGGCTATGGGGCCATGTGTGTTTAACGTCCTGATTCAGAAATGATTGAATTGATCTGTGGGTCTGTATTTTAGGGAACGTGTCCCCTTAAGATCCTCTGACACCCCTGTGGTGTGTGTGTGTGTGTGTGTATGTCTGCGCCTACAGGAGCAGGAGCAGATGCAGTGCTATAACCAGCGCATGATAGAGCTGCTGAAGGCCCGGCAGCAACAGGAGAAGGCCCGGCTGCCAAAGATCCAGAGGAACGAGGGCAAGATCCGCATGGTGATGTTCAAGAAGAGCCTGCGCATCAACTCCACCGGGAGCGCATCGGAGGACCGCGAAAAGATCAAACAGGTGAGGGAGAAAGAGACTTACATTCACAGTCCCACGCTTTAACCAAAGACGGAGCAAGCGCATGCATTTCACTGTGCGAAATCTGCACTCAAAGCTGGGTCCAAATGTTCATTCATACAGAGACATGGATTAGGTTATTAGCATCTGCCATTAGCTCCACATGGGGAGTAGTGCCTGTCTGAAGAATCGAGTTAGGAGTGTATGTAGCATGGCTCACTCGGTTTACTGTGTAACTAGTGGTGTGTTTAAAGAGATTTACTGTATTCACTGGAGGTTTTAGCGGGATATTGAGTGTGCCTTAAGACTAAAAACTGTGGTAAACATCGTTTTTCATGGTGTGACCTGGTATGTATGTACTGATCACTGTGTTGTGAGCTGGTGTGTGTTGTTTTTTGGGTGGTTACCAAGTGAGATGTTTTTTGGGGGGTGTAACCTGGTGTGTGTTGTTTTTTTGTGGGAGTGACATGGTGTGTGGTGTTTTTTGGGGTGTAACTTGGTGTGTGTGTGTGTCCCCACAGTTTGCCCAGCAGGAGGAGAAGAGGCAGAAGGCAGAGCGTCTCCATCAGCAGCACAAACATGAGAACCAGATGAGGGAGATGGTGGGGCAGTGTGAGAACAACCTCAGGGAGCTACAGCAGCTCCAGGTGAGACTTAACACGGACACACACACAGACACACACAGACACACCTACACGGCTGTATGAGATTGTACTGTAGGTTGGTATGACATTAGTTTTTGTGGTGGTTAATCTTTGTTTTCCCTACTGTGTGCAGAATGAGAAGTGCCACCTGCTCATTGAGAACGAGACCCAGAGGCTGAAATCTCTGGACGAGATGCACAACCAGCAGCTGAGAGAGTGGAGAGAGCAGCTTAAACCCAGGAAAAAGGTCAGAATCACACCACCAGAATCACATCCTGCCCCCGTCACTGCCACACCCGAAATCACACCCTGCCCCATCACTTTCATGCCCCAAAACTGCCACATGCCGTCTGCCTCTGTCACCCCTATAATGTACCTCGTCTATCTGCACATCAAGCCCCTCCCTCCTTTACACATGCAACCTGCTTGTACCTTCTCCCTGTATGCACACCCCCTACCCCTACTTACCGCTTGCAGTTACTCCTGTAATATAACCTTTTTGTTAACTTACTATGTTACTGGTTGTTCTCTACCTGTGTTTGTGTTGATATTGATATATATATAGAATATATCTTTCCAGTATTTCTTTGTAACCTGAAAGACATATCTGTAATGTACATAATAATCATGATAATGATAATGATACACATTCTAACTTTACACACTAACCCTGAGAGTATACACACCATCTATCCCTGCCTATGCCCTGAACGAACACACACACACGCACAGAGGGTAAACCCACGAACACATTGTGCGCTTTACTGAATCACTGCTGTGCATAACCTTTTCCTGGTTTACCCCAGGCCTTGGAGGAGGAGCTGAACCAGAAGAAGAAGGAGCAGGAGGCCTTCTTTAAGATGAGCGAGGACTCGGAGTGTGTGAGCCCCAGCTCCCCCAACAAACTCACCAAATTCCTCCCGTACTCGGACTCCTCCACCACGTAATCCCAGCGGCCCACGGCCACCTCAGGACCAACCCTAGGAACCCCCCTACGGACTCCACCTCATCTGGGGCAAATGTAACCAGTGATGTCCTCTCCGAGTTTTTCCTTTTAATAATAGTATTTATGTTTTTAAGTCATGTTCAAGTATTTTAATTTGATTAACACTTGATGGAAGGCTTCCTTTGGTCTAGACAGTTGTTTGAGCTTCCTTCCACCCCCCCCAACACACACACGCACGCACACACACACACACACACACACACACACACACACACACACACACACACACACACACACACGCACACAATGTAAGCTTGCAGTATTTTGAACCTATGCAGTGCAATTTATTCCTTACTGAACAAACTGATATTGCATTAGATACCTGTCCCATCCTTTCTGTTTTACCTTCCATTTTATACACCTTGCAGTTACCTCCCCGCCTCCCTTATGATAATGTAGTGTTCCAGTACCCGCCCCCTGTAGCATGCTAGCCTGCAGTGTCAGATGGACTTGACAGAGAGAGGGTTTTGTATCCAAATGGGGAAGACCTCTCAAGTGTTCTGTTCTGCATATGTTCAGTGTAGGGGATGCAAAGTGGGTACATGCTCAGTGCGGTGTATAAAAGCAGCTATGCAGGCTTACCATAAAAACACCTGCTATTGACAGATCTGAGCTCATTCCAAAGATCCTACCTTAAGCTTGCCCAGAAACACAGGCCTCTGTGCATAATTGCAAAAGAGCAGTGTGTTGTTTTAATTTGCCATTTATGTGCCTTAGCTCCAATCCCTTTTTTGAGTTTTGTATTTTCTGGGTGAATGTCTGGCTGCCAAAAGTGTACTTGTCATGTTGACTTTTTTTTTTCCTGAGCACAGAATGCAGAAACTGATGTGGAAAAAAATGGAGCAACCAAGCTAGATGCTTTTGAAGTATGACTCCTTGTCCACGTGTCACTTGTCACACAATTCACACATAAACAAATCATTTTCCTGCTAAAATTGTTTCAGCAATGTAAATATTAACTAAATGTTGAAACTCATTCACGGTCACAAAGGTAATGGGTCACTGTTAATTTTGTCTTTTCTGTGAATAAAGTTCCATGCAGCTTGGTTGCTGAAGGAAGGAAAATGGAACAAGCCGTTAGGTTGCTAATTTATGTCTCCCTCTTTTTTTTTTTTTTACACATTAATTTCTTTCGTTAAAGGAAATTCTTTTCTCTCTGTCATGATTACACTGGCAGCGAAAAAGAAAAACTTGTTCATAATATCGCTTTGTTGCAAATATTCAGTGAAATGACTTTGCGCTATGTAATAAAGGCGTTATTTACTGTAATGGTGACACTGGAGCTGATCTGACATAGTCAGAGCTATGTCCATACCTGCTAGAGCCAAAGTGTGTAATATGTTTAGTTGTTAAGTTTGATATAGTTTCTTTGAAGAATATTTAGACATGATTATATACAAGCCTAAATATATATTTTATTAAACATACACTTTATGAAATTGATTTTTATTATGACATGAAATGCACTGTCAACTAACCAAAGTGCAATATGTTTTTTGATTTATTAATTATTCCACCAAATAAGCCTCACTTTGAGATTCTCATGCTCATTGTTTTGTCTGTGATTGAGAGAGAGAATACCAAAATGGACTCAAACATTGGAATCACTTGTATAAACCTTTTGCAATATCCGACCCAGTTCGGATTTTTCAGAGTGGTCACTTTAACTTTGATATATTTGACTGTTAATCAGGTACCGTCAAATCTCCTTCCTGTCTTGTTTTGATCAGTTCCTGTGTACTTGGACTGCAATATTATTGTCCTCTTCCTTTGTCTGTTGTATTGGAACATGAAGTATATTTTCAGTAAGGGGTGTGCCCGAAAAGTGTCCTTAAGTTGAAGGAACCACTGTTGTACAGTGTGAGTCTATCTTGTACAGTATGCAAGTCTAATAAACACACAATTTCTTATACAGTCTTGTTCCAACTTTTTTCCTCCAGGTAAAAATGTCTCACTGCATCGGTTCAGTCAGGCATTTTCTCAGATGGTTCACAGATTCTGAAGAGTCTGTGTGGTCTCCTTCCTCAAGGTTAGATCTTTCCACAGTAGGAAGCCTACAGATATTGTCTGAGGTATGTGAGGTATCTGAGGTCAAATTTTTACTGAAAATTACACAAGGATGGCCAGTATGCTGAAGTACTGACAGAAGTGTCACTCACAGAAAGATGGACTCACACAGCCATGCTGAGATATTGGAAATGTTTATTAACTTTAATATAAAAGAAATAATACAGAACAAAAGGAGTTGGTGAAGTGTGAAATATCCTAAAAGCCACCAAAAGAAGCGAGGGAAAGGAAAGTAGGCAGACTACAGTACTGTGATGGTATATCTGGTAAAAGAAGATTCGATGTCCAGCACACAGTTTTTCTGAGTGAGCCATACAATGGCATTATGCACATACTTTTCATACAGAGCAAAGTGGCTTTTCAGAGAGAACAGTTCTGTCAACTGGTCACAATGCCTTTCACTGTAAGAAACAACACAGCCATTTCTGTCTTTATTCCTTAACGTACTTACAAAATCAAAGTTTCTCATGCATTCCTCCCTTTATATCTGAGGCCTTTGTAGTTCTATATCTGACTGCCATGGTGATTTGCCATTAACTTGATAGTGAATTTATGCAAGTACTCTTTTTTTATTTCTTACTACTTTTCAACATTTTTCACATGCTGAAAGAATAGCAAATGTGATTCATAACTTAACGTTAAGGACAAACTGCCACAGCAGTTAGATTGAACCAATATCTGGGGTGGACACACAGGAACAAGATACTTTATTCTCATGAACTATTTCCTCATTGTTGTCATGTTTACAGTGTCCTTACATAAACCAATGTAATGCATCTGACTGTTCTGTGTTCAGTGCTTGCATTCCTCTCAATCCGCACATCCACACCTTTACTGTTGTTTTGCATTTAAAGTTATGCAATTAGTAACAATATGAAAG